TAATGACCCAGAGACCCCATAGGGACCCCATAGAGACCCCATAGAGACCCAGAGACCCCATAGGGACCCATGGAGACCCCATAGGGACCCACAGACCCCACAGAGACCCACAGACCCCATAGGGACCCAGAGACCCACAGAGACCCCATAGGGACCCTATAAAGACCCACAGACACCCTGAGACCCCATAAAGACCCACAGACCCCATAGGGACCCCAAAGGGACCCCAAAGGGACCCCACAGAGACCCCATAAAGACCCACAGACCCCATAGGGACTCATAGAGACCCCATAGGGACCCAGAGACCCACAGAGACCCCATAGAGACCCCACAGAGACCCCATAAAGACCCATAGAGACCCCATAGAGACCCACAGACCCCATAGGGACCCCATAGAGACCCCATAGAGACCCATAGGGACCCCATAGAGACCCCATAAAGACCCCCAGCCCCCCAGGCACCTGAGGAGGGTGGCAGCCCCACACTCGGTTCCGGGATTTCTCTGGGTTCCTATATGGGATGCGTTTGTGGGGTTGACCCCATAGAGACCCATAGAGACCCCATACAGACCCCATAAAGACCCCATAGCTGTGGCTCTGACCCCATAAAATGGCCCCATAGGGACCCCATAAAGACCCGCTGTGCCCCACAGCCACCCCATAGAGACCCACAGAACGACCCCATAGCTGTGGGTCTGACCCCATAGAGACCCCATAGAGACCCACTGTGCCCCATAGAGACCCCATAAAAACCCCTTGTGCCCCACAGAGACCCCATAGAGACCCACACAACGGCCCCATAGCTGTGGCTCTGACCCCATAGAGACCCCATAGAAACCCCATAGAGACCCACTGTGCCCCATAGAAACCCCATAAGGACCCACAGAATGACCCTACAGCTGTGGGTCTGACCCCATAGAATGGCCCCATAGAGACCCCATAGAGACCCCATAGTGACCCCATAGCCACCCCATAGAGACCCACAGAACGACCCCATAGCTGTGGGTCTGACCCCATAGAATGGCCCCATAGAGAACCCATAGAGACCCACTGTGCCCCATAGAGACCCCATAAAAACCCCCAGAACGACCCCACAGCCGTGGGTCTCACCCCACAGAATGACCCCATAAAAACCCCACAGCCGTGGGTCTCACCCCACAGATCGGCCCCACAACTCACCTCCACCTCGCTGGGTTCCGGCGCTGTGGGGCGGGCGGCTCGGACCCACAGATCCCAAATCTCGGGGGGCAGCCATCCTATGGGGTGGGGGGGGCACTTGTGGGGCTGCCCCATAGATTGGGGGGCACTTATGGGGCAGAGGGGGCACTTATGGGGCTGCCCCATAGATTGGAGAGCACTTATGGGGCAGAGGGGGCACTTATGGGGCTGCCCTACAGATTGGGGGTCACTTATGGGGCAGAGGAGGCACTTATGGGGCAGAGGAGGCACTTATGGGGCAGAGGGGGCACTTATGGGGCAGAGGGGGCACTTATGGG